AAAATGGTTCTTCCTGGCACCCCCACCCCATGACGAATTAGAGAAGAAACCCTCTCTCTGGGTGGGCTGATCCTGTGCCTTCACCACTCAGACCCAACCTGTGTCATTCCAGCACCACGCATGGCTAGCTAATCTCACCCCCATCCAAGTCCCACTTGTCTCCTTGGCTGGGTCTATAAACTACACACGTACAGTGACCCTGATTAGTCACTTACTCCCACAGATTGATCACAGACTTTTTTTCATGTCTGCAAAGGTCGTGGCTAATGAGGTTTGGAAGGAAAACACCGAGGAGGAACCAGAGGCAGCACGGTCAAGCTAGGTCTCTCCACGTGTTCCCCAACCAAAGTGCCAGGTCTTCACATGGGAGGGAACCATGGGTGACAGCCCCAGAACTGGTGGCAGAACTCTTCTGGGTGCTACCTGCTGGGGATACTGTCCCACAACACCACAGCTGGGATTCAGCAGAAGTCAAAACCAGTGTTAAGTGAAGCCTGCTGGGCAGTGCCTATGGCTCAGGGAGTATGGCACTGGTCCCATATACCAAGGGTAGCAGGTTCGAACCCGGCCCTGGCCAAAACTGCAACAACAACAAAAAATAAAAATAATTACACACACACAAAAAAAGTGAAGCCTGCTATGCTGACATTTGAATGACCCAACTGGGCAGTCCAAAACCTTGGGCCCCTTATAGTCCTGTACTAACTACACTGGTTGCTCCTTAAGGTTAGAAAGCCGCCTTACTCGGCTGTGTACCCCAGGGCCCACCCACACAGTACCCAGCACATAGTAGGTCTTCAAGTAAATATCTGTGGAATGAATATTTGTGATGGTTGTCAAGAGAAAGCTCTCCCAGACTTCTGTGCAAGCAGAAAGCGCCCTCTCTCTGCAAATGAGTAACCCAGGACAGTGTAGTGCAACATGGCTAGTCAGCCTGGCATTCTCCTGTCAAAAAATAAGGACTTGGGACCATCATCTAGTTTCCCACAGACTCAGCTAGGGTTTCACTAACCAATTCCCAAAAACTTTTAGAACTCTCCTGAGGTGACTAATGGCCTCCCTTTCTGTGGTCCCAGACCATTCTCTGCAGTAGCCAGGAGCGTAGGGAGAGGCCATAATCCCACCAACATCTTTAGCCTGAGCCCGAAGCCAAGCTGATGCTCTCCAGCGGCCCCATATGAGTGCCCCCAAGCCTGACGCCTACCTTTCTGACTTCAGCCAATTAAAGGAAAATGGCTTCACACTATTGGCATAGGCCCAGAATGCCAGCAGTGCTGGCACAGTCATATTTTTTCAAGCTGTTGTCAAGGCACTGTGGATAATAGGCAATTTCATCAGCAGTGAATTCAAAGGACCTGCCTCAGCCAGATTTTTTGCTGCCAAAAGGGCAGGGGAAGATCAACTGCCAGCATTGGGAAGGGGCATACATTTATGTCCTAGGATCAAATTCCTCCCAACAGCCCATAGGATGAGACTAATAACTGCAATCCATTCCCCATCCTACAGTCCAGAAGCCAGGCTGTGGGATGTGGGTCCAGGGCACAGAGGCAGTCCTCCATGAGTGAGAGGAAATGAGCTCTGAGGTGTCAGTCCTGGGCTCTCCTGCAACTGGACTCTTGGGTCCAATGTCCTGACCTGTTGGAGCCACTGTTAGGAGGAAATGATGAAGGCCCGCCCTCTTATAGGTACAGAAGTGCTCCCACAGGTGCCCACACACCAAGTCCCTGGGTGGCACTCCCAACGCCCTAGCATCATGAAGACACGTCCTGGTGCCAGCGCTGATGTCTTCAGCCAAGGGTTATGGACATACCACTTGGAATGAGCTACATTTTAGCCTCCCTGCTCTGCTGTCTGTAATGTCCTTCCCTCTGAGTGCTGATTCCTCATTTTTATTTTCAAGGCTTTGGCTAAAAGGAATATGCATCTATACTATGCTGAGCGCCTTCCACAACACAGAAAAATTGATCTTTCTTTTAAATACGCCCAGAACTGTAGATGGGGCAGTGCTTGTGGCTCAAGGAGTAGAGCTTGGCCCCATATACCAGA